CACTCATCAATACACCACTCATCAATACATCGCTCATCAATACACCACTCATCAATACACCACTCACCATACACCACTCATCATACACCACTCATACACCACTCATCAATACACCAGTCATCAATACACCACTCACCATACATCACTCATCATACACCACTCTTCAATACACCACTCATCAATACACCACTCATCATACACCACTCATATACCACTCATCATACACCAGTCGTCATATCATCAGACACCACTCATCATACACCACTCAACATACACCACTCATCACCCAGTTAGCTCTAGTTTCAAGAGCTCTAGCTCCAGTTAGCTCTAGTTGCAAGAGCTCTAGCTCCAGGTAGCTCTAGTTTCAATAGCTCTGGCTCCAGGTAGCTCTAGTTTCAAGAGCTCTAGCTCCAGTTAGCTCTAGTTTTATTTGGCAGGCGCAGCGCTTTGTGAACCTCCATGTGCAGATTTCGTGGCAGGCACAGCACTTTGTAACCTCCATGCTTCTCCAAACCTACCTCCATGTGCAGATTTCGTGCCAGGCACAGCACTTTGTGAATCTCCTTACTCGAGGCTCCACCTCTCCCTCGAGCACGTCTTCTTCCTTTTTCTTTTCATCTTTCTCCCCAGGTTGGGGCTTGGTCTCCTGCACGGGGGGTGATTCAAAGGTAGAATTCAAAACTAAGAGAACCATGAGCAGAAAGGGAGAGAGAGGGAGAAAAGAGGAAGGAAAAAGGCAGGTTCCCAGCTACGAACAAACGTCCAGGGACACACCAGTGAGAGAGAGGGGTGATCCTGAGTTCAGGAATACCCCCAGAAGGCAAAGAAGGAAGGGAGGGGAGGGAAGGGGGGCTAAGTTCTCGACAGGTTCCAATGAACCTTCAACAAGCTTCGGCCGCTGCGGCCACGTACGCCGTGCCAAAATGGCTGGCTGCTTAGACCGCTGCGGTCACGTACAAGCATGAGCCAGCTCGGAATTCAAAAAATAAGACAAGTCTTGGCAAATAACTTTGGCATAAGCCTCCTGCTGTCCGCTCTGGACGCGTACGTTCCCGAACAGGGGGGACGATGGACAAACCCCTGTTCGACGGGTCCACGGGAGGCACTCTGCGGGCTCACCCCGGGCTCTCACTAGGAGAGACACACTTATGATTTGGTGTACTGACTGGACAGTGGCGCCACACGCCAGCCTAAGCTTTAAAAAACTTGAGGCGCCAGGGCAAATAGTAGGTTAAAGGCCAACGCTTTTTGGTTAGAGGCCATCGCAAGGCTGTTGGGGGCCAAGACCTAAGGTTGGAGGCCGTCGCTAGTAGGTGGTGGACCATAGGCACAAGCACAACAGAAATGACAAGTAGATGGTTACAGGCCATCGCTTTTTTGTTGGAGGCCATCGCAAGGCCGTTGGGGCCCGACTCCTAAGGTTGGAGGCCGTCGCTAGTAGGTGGTAGGTATAGTAGGCACAAGCAAACCAAAGCAAAACAAAGTGACAGCAAGAAGCAAAGTTGGAGGTCGTCGCTAGTGGGTTGGAGGCCAGGGTACCAAGTTGGAGGCCAGCGCTACCAGGTTACAAGAAACACAAGACACACAAGACGGCCAAGGTGGGGCCAATTCTAGTGGGTAGAGGCCAAAGTTCGGATTAAAGATCCCCTTTACAAGGTTAGGAGGCCTACCTGCAAACCTATATAGAGTAGACTACGTGAAAAAGGCGTCCCATTTCCATATCCTCGGATACATCGCCAGCTTCGTTGACCAGGCGACGATGTATCTGGCCTGGTCTCCTGCTCCAAACCCAAGGGTTCCCTGTGATTCCAAGGGTTACACACACACACACCCCTCTCCGAATGGCACGGTTCCCAAGCACCTTCCCTCCCAGGAACGATATCGTGGCGCCCGCAGCTCTCAAGAGAAAGCTGGATTCTTTGGGCTTTCAAGGCGCATGGGCAAACTTTCGAATGAGCTACCAGGGCTGTACGAGACCGTGGCGCCTGAAGCGCTCAAAAGAATCCTGGAAGAAAAGAATCCAGAGTTTGCAGGCACATGGGCATCTGCTCCTTGCAAGAAGCTGCCCGAACGGTGTTTTGAGGCGTGCGAACGACAGAAAGGGAACCGCACTCGACACCCTCCTCGCAGCATTGTTTCAACCGGAAAAGATGGAGACTTGGATCTCTTGGCAGCTGTGATTGAGTTCTTTCTGTTCCTGTTCCGTGAGAGTGGTAGCCCTGGTAGCAAGGGGTGACCTTTGATTGCTGGCAGTTCCTGCAATGGGTTTTCCGAAGTCCTGGTCGGCCCAGAGTTGCTGAGCGGGAGTGTGGGCACCCACGGCATTTGGGTGAATTGACAACGCAAGTCTATACCCCATTCCCTCACGCTCTCTGATTCGACCCTGGATGACTCTGATGTCCAACTGACCACTGGCATCTCTGCCCGAACGATGTTTTGAGGCTGAAAAGGTAGCTGAACACATTCAACTCATCAGCGGTGCTGGGACTGTTCAGCAGCTTTGGCGAGCTGTGAATGAGTATTACATCCGAAGTCGTGCAACTGGATCGATTGAAAGGGCACATGCTGTCCAAGGTTCTCCAATAAGAAGCAAGGTTTGTTTCAACTGCGGAGATCTTGGCCATATGCAATCAGAGTGCCCTAAGCCAAACGCTGCAAACACTGCGGGAAGAGCGGCCATGTGGCCTCAGATTGTTGGGAGAAACACCCTGACAAGAAGCCATCCAAGAATGCGAAGGACCCTGGAGCAGATTCTGGCAAGAAGTTTTCTCGTTCCCTGAACCCCTTGATGTCTCATGTTCTTGACAATAAGAATGACAGGCAAAACGGACAAAGACTAAAACAAAATGCCCACAAGGAACGCCGCTCACAAAAAGAACAATGAGAAGGACAGGCGCAACGGACAAAGAATGTGTGGGGATGCCCACAAGGAACCCCAATTGCAACAAAAACAATGAGAAGGACAGGCGGAACGGACGAAGCTTATGTAAGGAGATGACCAGAATCATAAAGGTAGGGTCCCAAGAACCAGTTCGAGTCAAATTGTCATGCCATGGCGGCCCAACGGAAACGAAGCGAAGCCCTGGCCAGTGAAGAATGGAAACAAAAATTCCTTTGTCAAGACATCCTTTTAGACTCGCAAAATTTTTGGTCAGTTTGGCAAGTGAATATGGGCCTACTGGCCTTGGTGGCCCAGTTCCAAGCAATAGCCCAGAAATTTTTCTGAACTGTTTGAGGGGCACAGGCAGCAGCAAGGACATGTATTTCGCGCACGCATGCAAACATGCGTCTTCCTAGCAAAGCTGGAGAACAGCCGGGCAACGTGTCATCAGGGGTTCATCTTATCGCTTTGGCCACTTTTGGTCCCCTCCCCTTGGTGATGATGACGATGAAGAAGATGAGTGTGATGATGATGTCGGTGTAGTAGAATTTGTAACACCTGCATCTCTACACCTGCATGATGATGGTGATGACTAATGTGATGGCGATGGCTGTGCTGCTGCTGATGATGATGATGCTGTTGCTTGGTCGGTTGAAATTGACAGCCGTTTGTTGAGGAAAACCCTTTCGCAGGTGCTTCGGGAAAAGCGCTGCACCCGTTCCTGACTTTGCCCAAAAAAATTCTGCACCGCGTCTCCGTTTTCGCCGATCGTTCGTAGGCAGAAACAAAAACCCACGGGACCGGACGTCTGGTGGGGCCAACGGAAAGACCACTTCTCGCCACAGGTTGGTTCTCCATGGCCATTGAGCAGGTCGCGCAGGGTGGCTGCGTCGTGGTGGTCGTGGTCGGCGCTCAGTTGGGACATCGGATGAGTGCCACGGAGGCGCTCGTGGCGGTGGTCTTGGGCAATGGATTTCTCGCAGTGCCTTGGACTTCTGCCAGAAAGGAAAGGGAGTTTTCGTGGGGATTTGGACTTAGCCACGGTGGAGTTTCTGCAGTGTGAAACAGTGTTTACTTTGACGAGGCCACTAGTCCGGCGTCCGGCCGTATGGGAGGAACTGTTTGTCAAGCCTTTTGGAACTTGCTTGCGAGGCTCCCCGGACTCTTGGTAACGATGAGGTGGGTGTAGGGCTTGGTTCGAATGTAAGACAGTCGGGCATTGTTTGTGTGTTTTGAGCACGATTTTGGGTGGGTATTGAGTGGCTGCAAGAGGCTACCAGGTTCTTGCAGGTTGTCCCGCATTCGCATTCAGAGATGTTTGACAACGATTTGTTTTGTCTCACACTGGGTCTTGTGGGCGATCGGTGTATATAAAGATGGGCAAGCAATCAATCAATCAATCAATCAATCAAGCAAGCAAGCAAGCAAGCAATCATACTGATGTTATACTACTAAGACTATTATGTTAATACCATGGCCTTTCCCAGTTACAATGCCTCCAAAATCATCAAACCTCTCAATGGTTTCCACACATTGGACCTGGCCTGCGGTTTTTGTCGTTCCTTTCGAGGCTTTGGGGCGCGTATCGGTTTCACCGAGAGCCCCTTCCCCGCTGCAAAAACGAGGTGATTTGCATGGTGGTGGGTGCGATCGGCTGCCGCGAGGGCTTGACCACCTCGCTCTTGGCGCGTTGGACGGGCTTCGGCGTGGTCGGCTCACAGCTCCTGAGCTTCATCGTGACGCTCAGCTTAGCGGCTCGATGAAGAAGGAGGCGCACCAGGTGACGAAGAACGGTCAAGGAGACTGGTTGGACTCACCCGTGACTCAGGTTGGGTGGAAAACCATGGAAACTTGACCATCAATCAGTTCTGCCTGAACAAACGTTCGACCTGACAACCTATACGAAGCACGACCACGATTTCAGCCAGGGTCGTCAAACTACGTCGGGTCATCGCTCGGGTGTCCCGGTGCTATGGACCCACAGTGCCACAGGTGTGGGGGAGCTGGACGGAGAAGGAAGGAGGATGTCTTTCTTCGCTCGTGGTGCTGAAGAAGAAAACGATCCAAACAGTCATAGATCATAGATCTGAGACAAGGATAGATCTGGCGCCAGCGGAGAAGCACCTAAGAGAAGAGATGCAGAGTCATATAGATGGCGCAATGCCCAAAAGGAAGTTGATGCCATCTACTCTGAAACCATTGTAAGCACTGTACGGCACTGCCACCCTCACTTCTTTCCAAAAAGACAGATCCTCCACCATGGCCTCTGGCCTCTCCGCATGGCCCAGGTGAGTTGGTTCGGAATCCAGGCGGCCATCGCCGGAGAAGGCTTGCACACCATCACCAGCGGCATCACCAGTGCCTCGGTCCGTCCAGACCGGCGGGCGGTGGGCGAGTCTATCCGCACCGAAGGGAACCTAAGGGGTGGTTCCCCCCCAAAAAGAAACACCATCAGAATTCAGAATCATGTTTTTGAGTCGCATAGAAGTGTGAATTGCTCTGTGCGATTCCACAGAATAGAAAGGGGACGAACGGTCAGCACTCCCAGAGTATGTAGAACCACTCCCAGGAGCCCTGATTCCGTTGTTCCAGGTGTTTTTTGATCTGTTTTTTTCCTCCTGAGAAAACGATAAAAGAAAGAACATGAGTGTCAACAAGATGAATTTTGACGTCAGCAAAGCTCCATAAGGTTTTGAATTGCTGTGAAATCCTGTTTCACGGATCGAGTTGGCCATGTCCCGAAGGTGTCTTTTGCCCGAAAAGCTTCCAGCGAGCCCACCCAGCACCCACCCAGCACCCGCCCAGCACGCCAGGTTTGCAGCTATCTTGGCCTTGGACCGCACTCAATGGTTTTCTGGTGGCTTTGGTTGGAACTCTTAATCATTGCCATCACTCTGGGCATGCTATATTTTCCATGAGTTCTTCCATGTTATTGAGGCTTCCGGATGATAATTTTGGACGAGTGATCCTGACCGAATGATGCTTGTGGCTGTCTAAAATCACTCACAGTCTCTCTGCGCGTCTTCGCCAGGTGACGTTGGTGGCAGCCTTCGGCTTTCGCTACATCGTGGGCATCGCCTGGCTCACTGGCCCGGCCTTTCTGGTGGCCGTCGTGTGGGCCTTGTGGCGCGTGGAGGAAGCACACGACGCCCGGTGGAAGAAGACAGGGATGCCCAGAACACATCGAGGGATGCTTGGGGTGAAGGACTCCAGATGAGATTTGGGGAGAGATGTATTCAGATGTTGGAAGCAATTTGGTGCGGGTTTTTCTTGCGGAACATGTCGAATTTGTGGTGGAGTGGAGTGTAAAGACCTTTGTGGATCTAGATGGCGAGCAACACTACAGGCCTGCTTTACGACGTAGCCTGGAGGGAATTCTATAACTAGTTCCTCATTAAATGTCCTTCTTTGCCAAAACTATTGAGCAGGATGGGCTGCGAGTTTGCGGGTGTTCACAGGAGGATAAGATGACCACTAAAATGCCTTTCTTCAGAATGGCGACCATGTCTCATCACGTCTCATCCACTTAGATTTCCGGGGATTCAGGATGTCATCCACGCCGCTACGCCCTCAAAAAGTCATATGTTAATTCAGTGATTCCGTGATTCCGACCCATACCCGTTTTGCAAGGAAAGGGTCTTGCTTCATCCAACCCTGGGAGAACCTGTTTGGGCCCACCCAAAACGCACTCGGGTTGGTGTTTCCTCCGGGTGATCAGAACATCGGAGCAACCTTCAGGGCGAAAGGCTTCCAACTGAGGGGCAAACCCTTTTGCATGAACCACGATGAAAAATCCTCGATCGTGTAAGCTTCCAAACATCCTTCCCCCCATTTAAGCAGTCCATGTCCCTTCGCACCACAGTACCCTTGGATTAAGGGTTCGGCACCTACCTGTCCCTGGTCTCCACGTGGCGCCGGTGCAGCTCCACGAGGCTCCCAGCGAAGACACGCAGCGCATGTCCGTGGGCGAAGGCGAAGACGAGGGGACGGGTGAGACTCGAGACTCTCGCACGCACGCATAGCGAAGCTGAGAACAGGGTCCCAAACAGGCATTTTGCGGGCTCTAAAGAAACTAGACTAGACCATCTTCAAAGAAAGGCGATGATGGCCAGAGATAGGTGAAGATGAACAAAAGTGCCAATTCGGCATTTCTTTCTAAGGCCCGGCACGAAACAGTAAGGCAGAGGCACTTAAAAAAGCACACGGCACGGTGCGGCACGGTGCGGCAGTGCCTCGTGGCTCATCGGGTGGTACGGCGTGAGTCGTGCAGGCACGAACCTGGTGGTGGGCGGCTACATCGTCGGCTCGGTCATCGTCAGCGACGCCTTTCGCTTCAGCCGCAGCAAGCGACAGGCGGCAGCGGCGAGGGAAGGGAGCGGAGAAAGGCTGCTAGAAGCCCTGGGAAAGGCACGCATGCCGATGCTGTTGGCTCAACGGCATGCAGTCTTTCAATGAATCGTTTTGTTCATAGTTCGACCTGTTCGGGGCTCTAAGAAGAAAGAAGATCGAACACATCTCATTTTGACTCGGCGTCCTTGGGCTCTCAATCGATCCGCCCCACTGGACTCATTCTCGCTCACCTTCCATCACCTCACCTACATCATATTTAGATGCTGCATTTATGTATAGAATTAGTTATAGCATTATATAAACTATACATTAGTATCTTCTGTATTATATTGTATAAAGCATTCTGATTTCTTCACCTACATCCACACCGCCTATCTTCTGATCCTCTAGAGGTGGTGTCTCAAGTGCTTCTGCCGCGATCCTTGGCGATTATCGGCTACATGTTGGCCGGGGTGCAGATGGCGCGGATGTGCGGCACCGACGACGTGATCCAGATCATGAAGCGAACCGTTGGCCTCTGGGCCGCTCGGACGAGACGAAGCGAGAGAGACGAAGCGCGTCATGCGCATGTGCTCTGCACGACGCTCGACCTGAGAAAGTAGGCCCTGAGGCGCTGCCCAGGTCTAAAATTCGGGCATTGCCTGGTGTAAGTGAAGAGGTGCACAGATTTATCTGATTTTAAGCCCAAAAAGGCGTTTTGTGGTTTCAAGAACTCGATGTGGTCGCGGCAGTAGCCTTTTCTCCAAGAGCCTGCGATGAGACTATCAGGTACCTTCAACGTATGATTTTCACAGTTTGTTGAAGGGTCCCATCCTTGATACAACAAATCCGGTTCCCCTGGACGACATGGCGTGAACACCATGGGAAACCATGGCATTTCAGTGTGCCACTAAGGTCAGTGCAATATGTTTCTTGCTTGCCCTTGAAACCCTCGGAATTCGGTGACCCATCAAGTGTAGCCCGATATTTCAAGTTTCATTGTTCTGAACTCGCGCTTTTTGATGGGCCAAATCCTTGCGCTCTTTTTGCTCTTGCACGTGCCAACAACTGTCGTCTGTGACTGCGATGCTATGAACTACTAATTACGTATACTTTTGACCTTGTTGCAGATCCACAGTAAATACATCCTTCAGCCGATCTCATGAGCTTCAGCCGATCCCAGACCGCACGATCTCGAAGGAACACCGTCCATGACCGTCGATCTCCAGACCGCGCGAGTCACGAACGCCCACGGTCGAGAGGTCGCAAGGGATGTCTTTTTCAGAAGGGGACGAGGTACACGGTACACTCCCAATCATCCTCAGTGGCTCCCAGTGTTTCGCCATGAGGAACCGTTGGGTCGGCTTTATATATAGTCCTTTATAGAAGCCAGTGCCCAGACGCTCATGGACCCTCCGTTCAGTAGAGGCCCGGATCCGAACCAATCCCTAGGGTTTGCTTCGGGACCAGTCGAGCTGTGAACTCACGGAGCGTCATGGGTGGTGACCAGCTATGGCTTGCGATCCTCCATCGTCCCTTCTCAGGTCCTCGGCCGGGTGGGTCCTCGACTGGGAACGCGCCGAACGAAGGCGTTGGTGTTTCGACTGTCGACTGGGTGCGTCTCTCTCCCAAATCCAGGCGGTGGTCGTCGTGGTGGCTGGAGAGATGGTCATCAACTGCACCAACTTGTACTTCTCGGGCTTGGCCTTGGTGGCCATTGGAGAAGCTCGGGTCGAAGCGGGTCGAAGAAGCGGAGAGGTTGGTTGGGGTGGGGGGGGTGGCCGACGGTGGTCTCTCCCAGCGAGCGGTTTTGGGATCTTTGAGTTCGATCCAACTGAGGCGAGGGAGTGGGGTTTTTGGCTACCACCATGGATTGAAGTAGGCATGTGTCAGCATCCCATCCCAACTGAAACAGCCATTGTGGTCACAAGACCATTTGGGTTTGTGAAGTTGATTAAGAGGCAATGCTAAGGCAATTTTGCGCTTGGCACATGCTTGAGATGGTTTCATGACAGCGTAGGAACGACCGAAGATCAAGGATATCAGCAGGAGGTCGCCATGAGGGGGCTTCGATGTCGGCAGGCCAACTTGGCGAAGACATCGCCACCTTTCCAACTGGTCCACCTTGCTGATCGAAGCAACTGGCACATGGCGTTGATCCAACTGGTCCACCCAGCTTGGTCCAGCTGGCTGATCCCTTTGGGTGCCTTTTTTTCACCACGCGTCGCGCCGCGGAGCGAGGATCAGAGCTGCGGCTTTCAACTGAACCGCCCAGTGGTGACGATGATCTGTGGAGTGCTGGGAAGCTTGGTTTTGCTGAGATCAGGTGGATTCAGGTGGATGTGTTCTATTTTACGTATGCTGAGGTGTTGGTGAATCCCCCCCTTTGTGGCCCAAGATGTTCTTAATTCGTTTTTCACCGGTTGCTGTCACAGCAGCCTTTTTAAGGAAGTGTCTTCGGCGCTCTGGGTATCTTGAAGAAGTTCATCAGCTTCCTCACCGTGCTGGCCGTGGCCTTCCCACCAGTGCCAGGCAAGGTTCCGAGACACTGCTGAGGTGTGTGAGGGGCGTGTGTGAGTGTGTGTTTTTTCCGGCAAAGAATGGATGTTCCACGATGTTCCTGATTATATAGGGTATATCCAGGTATCGATGATCACCAGACACACATCATGTTCTTCATGCCAGGGTGGTTGTTCCATGTTGATCCTGCAACAGCCAAGATCTGGAACATCAGCCATGTTGGTTGCCCCAAACCACAACCTTTTCTCGGCAAAGTGGATCACAGGGCCCATGTGGGGAATCGTTCGTGGGTGTCCCACAGAGTTTTGCTCAGGCTCACCATTGAAATCAACTCAAACGAACTGCCCAAGGTTTCAAGAAAAAACCAACCCACCACATGTGTGAGGACCTTTGTTAGGTGAAGGAACTGACCAACGCATGGAACCCAAGAAATGCAAGCTGAGTTTGATGGAACCAAGATATGAACCAAGTACCCTAGACCTCGAATTTCATCAAGCTGGGTCTCATTTCATCCCTGGACGGCTGAGGTTCCTCACCGAAAACCCCCAAGCTGAGGTGTCCCCCCTGTCCGTTGGCCTCGCGTGGAAGAACGCGCGACCGCGGTCAGGCATCATGTGCAGCGAGTACTTTCTGGTGAAAGCCTTCCGTCCAAGCTTGGAGGACTGCTCGAAGCTACGCTTGGTGGCCATCGCTAGTAGTTTGGAGGCCATCGCTACGAACGTAGCTTCTGCCCTTGTGACGTGCGTAGCTTGTGCGGTGAGGTGCGAACAGAGGTGCAGAAGATGCTGACACGATGCTCGCTCGTTCGTTGAAGTACCTATCCTTCTCTGCGCACGAAATGGTTGGAGTGGTCATTGGATTGTAGGGAGAGAGAGGTTTAAGGTTGCCAAGAAATGGTCGTTTGGGATTCTTGCTTCATAGACCCACTTCGAAGCACCAAGTACTAGCTAAGCCTGCTGCTGATGGAAGTGTTCAGCAGCGCCGCCTGGCATAGACAAGACAAGACACTGAAACAGATGCTGATCAGCATTGAACACCAAGTGGATGGCACCACTGATCCGACCTTTTTCCATCCAACTCTGGTCTCTTAGAGTTGGCATAGTGCTGCATCCCCCACCTACCTCACCTCACCTACCTCCCCTGGGTCCAGAGGAGTCGCGCCGTGCGGGTGGCGCTCTACCGAGCTGGGCACCCACGGTGGTGCCCTGGGCGCTGGTGATATGGCTCCTGGGAGCGCTGGCGGGGAAGTTTCTTCCCTTGGGCGCTCCTTATGCGTGCCTTGGTGGATGCGTGTGTTTTCTTGGAAACGGCTCAGAAGGTTTTTGTGGGAGGCCTTCTTGGGGTGTGGACGACGGAAGGTTCCAGAGCGATACAGCGCAGGAGCGCACGATACAGCGCAGGAGCGCGCCTCAAGGACGGCGCGCGCGCCGCGAACTGGAGAGGTGGCAGCCACTGGTGCAAAGCTCCTGTAGGACTGGAAGTTAGAGCTGCTGAAAGGGTACCTTCGCGCACGAGCAGGGACTTGTTCTATTTCTGCTCTTGGTTTCAGAGTCAGCTGCTACCCTACTCCTGATGTAGTAGCACTCACCTGGATGGTGGAGCATCGTTTTGCCCATCTTGCGATTTTCGTGTCAAGGACTCAGTTTCGTGTCAATGGGGTAATGGGGTGAAGGCTCAGTTTCCCTTTTTTGGGCCCGGCCTGCAGAGAAAAAAGTAGCACAACTGTCCCAACTTGGAGTTGAAGTGCATCCGTCATGCACTCCAGGTCAATCCACTTTTCGCCACTGAATGGACAGACTGGATGACTGATTGGGTTCTTCAATCAGCCATCCGACCCGCCTGGGTGATCACGGTGCTCGGTGGGTCTGCCACGGTGCTCGGGGGCTCTGTGGAAATTTTCAGCTTTGATGTATTAGATACCCGGTCGTTTAAGGTTCGACCAAAACCCTCCGGTCGTGAAGAAGCAGGAGCCCGGTTCCGCCAGACGCGACTAATGGGACTGCAGGACTGCCGCCCCAGACAGGCCCCCGAAACCACCCCAATGGCATATATGGCATACATGGAGCGTGGAAGCAGGAGCCAAACAGCCTTTCCCCACGAAGCGCCCAAGGCTTCGATCTTTCCCCACCAAGCGGGTGACACGGGTCGACCGAATCGGCCGCAAAAGCAAGCCCACAGATCCTTCGTCTGGCAGTTCACTTCAGGACTTCGATGTTGCTCCCGGCGTTGCTTTACTTCTTGGGTGCCCAGTGTGGTCTCAGCAGCCGTGTTTACGGCAGCCGCACACAGACCTGTCGCGAGACCGAACATCCCGACCGGTCCACGTGAGCGGTGCGGCCGGGCCACGTGAGGACTCGGACGAAGGAAGATCGAAGTACTTGGGTACTTCGAATTCAGCTCAGGATAGAGAGGAAAGACTCTTAATTGTATAAAGACACATCGCCCCCTATAGCGCCGTATAGTTGACAAATAGAATGTGTGGTCCCGTAAAAAAAGAAAAAGAAATCTGTCATGAAATGGGGGAGATTCTGTGATTTGGAGTTGTGGTTCACTTAGTGAACTTGGCCTTCGAAGGTTCTGAATGTGTCCTCACCCCCAAACAAAAAAGCAAAGCAAAGATTCGGCAGTTGCATGCACTGGTTCCACAACGAAGCTCGTCAATCAAAGGCTATGCCACTAGTGATCGTGGCCGGTGAGGGAGGTGCTCAACAAGTAACGTCCTTCCTTCGACCGGGTGCGCTGTGATGGAACTGGATTCTTGGACAAAGGGGACTGCCCTTTTGAGGAACACAACTGACATGTACAACAACAAGAACTGGAAGTTTTCTGTTTTGTAAGAAAAGGAAGAAGAGATTTTCAAGGGCAGAAGTAGATAAGGCGGATGCCAGTGGCTATCTCATGTTTGGCTCTTGCGTTTGTACATACTCAGCCATGCATAAGGTACCCGATCGCCAGTGCTTGTAGAGCTGTATGAGCTCACTCTGGCAGGTTGGAGCCAATGTTTCGGAGAGGTCAGCGAGGATGGTTTAACATGGACGTGTGACCCCAAAACCATCATGTAGTTGTACAACACGTAGCTTGCAATGTGCCGCGACGCACGAAAGGCATGCGGACATATGGTTTTCTTGAGGTCTTTCTTAGTTTCAACATAGCTTCATCAATTAATCTATTTGTTTGCCTGGTGGGACCCCCCTTGACCCTCACTTTCTACAGCTCCAACCAGACCCAATGAGTTTCATGCGAAAAAAAGATCCTTAAAGACGCCAAGTTGGACCAACAAATGCTGGAGGCAATCTTCAGTTGATCTGTTGAACAAGTTGAACAACAACAACAACAACAACAACAACCACAAGAAGAACGACCACAACAACAACCACAACAACAACAAGAAGAACGACCACGACCACGACCACAACAACAAGAAATTGGAGTTGAACCACTAAAATGTCTTGAAGTTTCTTGTACCTTGGAGACCTTTCCCAACCAGCGGCCCGCGGCGGAAGCATCGAGCAGCGCCCAAAGATCGGCGCCTGCTTTGAGCGAACCAGGTGGTGAAGACGCTTGAGAGGCTCCCTTCAACAAGCTGAAGATGGATGGAAAGACCTTGAAACCTCAGAAGTCCAATTTCAGATTCAATGTTCGGTTTACAAGGTGGCCAAGCGCCGGTGCGTTCTGCTGCTTTGCCATCACTCGTTTCATGTCCTCGAGCCTTCTCAGTCCGCTCCTCCAAGAGCATCGGCCCAGGCGGATCACGCCAGTGCGGACCTCTTGCTGAACGCGTTCATGGGAAGCCTATCGGTGGTGTTGAGGCGGGCGAAGTCGAAGTCGGCCAGCTGGGCGGCCGTTGTTCAAGCACAGACTTGGCGGTTCGGCAACAGCAGAGTCTGAGACTGGATGGTTTGACAGTCACTTATAAGTCTTAACCCACACACTCCATGGGATGGCCATAGGACTCCCGCCCCAGTCAGACCCCCAGTCAGACCACTGACTCTACAAAGGATTTCTCCAGGCAAGTGACAGCAATCGACCCTCACACCGCACCGACCTAAAACCACAACTCAAAAGAAAAGGATGTGGTTCGTCGTCGAAAGCGAACACCCATCAGAAACATCAATGGTTTATTCCGATGTGGCTTTCTCCAGATCCTTCACATAAGGTGGTTATTAGGTAAACATCCATTGCTTTCTTTGGGGGGTTCTGGGCCGAAAAGGTTGGATGGGAACTACTCCACAGCACCCATTCAGCGGGGCCATGGCGGCCAGACGCCACGGACGTAGACTGGCTATGTAGGAAACCTGCAGCCTCCGTATCAACATCCGTATACAACATCTGCCGGATCGTTGTGTGATCATAGACCCAACAAATCGGAGAGAATGGTGCATCTTCATGAAACGCTTTCCGGGTGCCCAGAATCGGCCTCATGAGTCTAGTGATCAGTTTGGAGACGCCAAATCCTCTTTCGGTCCCCGCTCCTCAGCGATTCCTCGCCCCCCCCCCGCGCGCTGACCGCCTGCCCGGAGGTCCCGTGGCACGGGAGACGCGAAGGTGAGCAGCTGCGGAGTGCGTCGATGGCAGGTCTTGATGTTGGGGATCTTTGGGGGGGGAAGTTCATGCTGGAAATCGCTATATAGTAGGTTCGGGGGCCATCGCTGGTAGAGGGGGGAAGTTTGGAAATGGACCTCGGATGCACCCAGCAATGTCGATGGTGGTGAGTACAGTGGTGGCGTATTGTCAATCGAAGCTGTCCATCTACAGCTTTGAGTCAATCTACTGAGGTGGTTCTCCAAATCGATTTCAACATTGGGATTCATCCTTTGTGGCTCAAAAGCCGAACCCCCTCATCAGCCTCGCGTTGTTGGAAGCGATCAACGATTCTGGGTGGGTTCATGCCGACCAGACCAGTAACTGGCCGGCGGCCTTGGCGGCCGAATGGTTCATTCGTCCCACCTGGGCCAAATGGGTGTGCGTTTTAAAATAACTTATTAGGGAGACCCCCAACCAATGGGTAGACTGGTCTATTTTCCTTCTTCCAGGAGGTCGAACTGGGAGGTCTCCCTATGTGTATACCCCAAATGTGCGTTTTCTGGGCAGAAGCGGGACAGCCTTCGTTGTGTGTCCCGGACAGGCCACCAAGGCCACAAATGTACGGAGGCAAAAGATCAGACGTGACGCACGGATAGGTTGCACACCAAGGCGTCACGTGTACAACAGATAAACTATGATGAACCCTGAGCGGAGCCTTTTGATTGTCTCACAATGTTTCATGCTGATACTACTGTGTCCTTGGTAGTTTAGAATATTGAGCTCGTTTATCGAGCTTTTATAAATTGTGCTTGATGTTCGAAGATGCTGCTCTGGGACAACTGAACGACAATCATCAGTTTCATTTCTACAAATGAAACTCCACAAGTGGCATGGAGGCTTGTGCGAAACTCCCATTCCTTCAAGCATGTGGTGCTTAAAATTAAAGCTGGCACCCTGCCCCCACACAGTACCAGTCGCATCACATGTTAAATATGTTTACAGTATAATATCAAGATTTGACTGGAAGCCCAGAAACGAGTCAGAGAACATGCGGACGTGCCACGGTTTCTGTATGCTGCCATCGCAACTTGGCAGTGGATGGCCATGGTCAAAGTCCTCCGACTGCTTGCTTTGGCAGACCAGAAGTCCCATCCGGCCTGTTTCGCTCGCCTGGCCAGGTGAGGACGCTCCCAAGCAAAGGCCATGGTGGCTACCGGTTTGCTTTGCATATGCCAAGCGACACAAAGGTGAACGAGGTCGCAGATCTGGTCGAGTGGCAAGTGCTTCATCACCGATCACCGAGCTTCTAGTGGATGCCGATGTTGGGAGTATTGAACTCATCCAGAGAGCTATAAGCCATTTGAAGGACATGGGCGGCACCGTTCGCACGCAAGTTTTCGCAGAACCGCGGCGAACTGAAAACAAGAAGTGGCGTGAATTTCTGGAAGAGCCTGGCATCACATTCCGAGCGGTTCCTCGTTTGAAGGACCATTCGAGAGAACCCAATGACGAGGCGATCGAAGCTGCGATGCAGAATATTTCCACACGTCGTGGTGTACATCGCATTGCGTTGTTGACGGGAGATGCAGATTTTGTAGATATCATGATGAAGCTTCAGGACACGAAACCCAGTTATTTGGTGCTGGTTCCTGAGTACAAATCAGGTGTGGCAGCAAAATATCAAGAGAGTGGCTTGAAGGTCGTGAATCTGGAAGATACACATGACAACCGTGGCCCATGCGTTCGAGCTATCCTTCATGACGATGGAACTGGCTCGGTCCAACTTGCAAATCCTTACATTTGCGATAGAGTTAGCTATGAGCGTAGATCTGAACTTGTAAAGGGATTTCTGGAAGATTTGAAATACACTGGGCACCTTTCACATGCCTGCGCCAAGTTTTGGTTTACCAATGACCTCGGACAACTCATCGTCTTTCCGGGCGAGCTCGCAACGCTTGCAATCCACAAAGTCATCAAGGAGGCTCCAAAGGCACGATCTTGGCGACCATATTCCGAGCAGTTGGCTTTTCTGTTGCCCATGGGCAAAAGTACTGCAAGCTCACGAAAGGCATATGGGAGTCGGCAGGCACAATCTGTATTCACTGGTGGCGGGCCCTTGATTTTGAAAGATTCCAGACATCTGACATGTCAAGTGTTGAAAAGGCTTGGCTACCTCGATCCGCAGAATGCTGACGAGCACGAGGCCATGTTATGTTTCATCAATTCTGCGAAGAACAAGAAATTGCTACAGAAGATGGACCTGCTGCCTGCTCCATCAGACACTCACAGCGATGTGAAAGAGAAGCTGCGGATGGCTTTCCTGTCTGATGCATGCCCACCCCGGTGGCAACGGCAAACAGCACCTGCTGCTCAAATGCAGAACATCGTGACCACTCTCCAGAAAGAGGGTTTCCTTTCAAAGAAAAAGGAACCAACTGGCGAATACTGTAGTGGATATTCGAAAAGCGAGATCTCTGAAGCGATCAAGACCTACGTGCAAGACATGCAGCTCCCTCCATCCAAGACATTTAATGGCTTGGCCTGGAGGATTCATTGCCAGCTAACGAGCAATCATCCAACTCACCGGGGTACAGTGGAATTCGGGAGATAGGGAGTCACTAAAGAAAAAAGAGAAGCAATATCGGAAATGGATGCATTCACAACAGTACGATGCGACTTCAAGCACCGCAAATGGGACAAGAAGACCCAACGATGCGACTTCAAGCTCCTTCTGCTCGGTCGATCCGTCGTTGGAGACCCAGCGATTTTCGGATTGATGTCTATTTGGAGAAGGATTTTCAAGCTCCGATTTCCGGATTTTCTTCAGCTTGGAGAAGGATTTTGTCCACCATCTGCTGTCCCGCAACAGTTTAACCGGCGAAAGAAGCCCGGCATGTCGTGCCAAAGTCAACCATTGCATTGCATACCAAGAAAGGCAAATCGAACTGATAGAACCCTACTAGGATAGTCTATATATGGTAGGGTTCCTCACATGTTGTTGATACGTATATATGTTCCATTCATTCATCTCCACGGAGGGGTTGTGTTTCTCGAGTTGGCCACAGAAACGCAAAGAACCTGCCACTGTCCATGCATTCTGCGAGAAAAACACCACACGGCCAGGTCACCTGTGTGAAGATCGTGGCGCGCATCGTGGAGACGGCGCGCGTGGCCTTGGCGGAGCTGGACGAGGCGAAGGACGTCATGGACCTCCGAAGGCGTTTTCTCTTGTTTTGCTTCAAGGGGTCAGGTCAAGGCGTCAAGCCAGGTTCTTGAAAGATGGTGGGTTTGGGTTGTTTTAGGCATATATGTTTGGGAAGATCCATATGTGTTCTGTGGTTGATTCCTTTTTTGGGCCATCTCTTCAGGGTCTTGGTGGTTCGTGGTCGGCTCCAGGATGGTAATATAGCTGGATGGAGGAGGTAGCGGGGTCGTGAAAGACTAACACCTCAAACGAAGCCCCCGCATTCCACACCTCATTGATGTCGTTCATTGGTCGAAACTCGAATTTGGGAGTTCTAGACACCCAGATGTGGGTCAAGTGTCTTTGCCCAATGACTTCGCCAAGATCATGGACACGCTGGAAGGCACATGACCTCATCCAAATCTGCGGGTGGGACGAAAACCAAGCTCCTGTGGTCTGCGGCCCCCGGTGTTCCGGCCAAACCACGGGGGCCATCACTGTCGTTGGGGCACTCCGGTCTTTCACGCGCCCGGGTCGGTCCTGTGCCCTGTCCGGGTCCAGGGATATGGAAAATCCTGGGTCCGGCAGCAAAAAGCGTTGGGATGAAGGTCTCAGAGACGTTGAAGCGAAAACATCAACCTTGACGGATGACGAGGGATTGCACCGCACCCAAAACCAGCCATGGATCTTTTGCTGAGTTGAAAGCACCCACTGGCGCTGGCTGGGTTTGCTTCCCCTTCCGAGGAAGATCCTAGTGGTCATCCTTTTTGGGCCCAACTGCCATCCACTGTGTTCATCAGAGTGCATTTCTATTGAATGCCAGCATTTCATGTCAACTGTGTGTTGATCAAGTCTCCAATGTTACATAAAACCCCTAGGACACCGCCACCGCCTGTCGCCTTATATATACGTGGTTTTGGTTCATCACCAGGTGACTGCGAAGGCTTCCACTCCCAAATAACTCTCGTGGACAGCGTCTCCATCTCACTTCGGTCGAATCGGCAGAGACCCGCCGCAATAGACATGACCACGACGGCCCTCCGATGCGCGCCGAACAGGCTCCGAGTCCGCGCCCCGAGTCCGGCGGCCGAACAGCGTCGCCCGACGAAGTCTGCCGAGGTCACGCGGTCCGTCACGAGTCCGTCGGGTGGCGCCGTCACGTCACGACGGGCGTCGGGTGGCGTTCAGGAGAAGCTTCTTTGCCCAGCCTGCCGCGCCTCTCAAGACGCCTGTTCGGCCTGCCAGGAGCACCGGTGGGTCGGACCCGGGGGAGCGTGGCTGTACAGGTGGGTCGGCTCCAAAAGGGGAGTTGGTTGGGGTGATCTTCAGACAGTAAGGATCTAAATATTGAAATGAATATGGATATGTAGAGATCACCACCTGCTTGGCATTAGGAAAAGGGTCCTCCGAAAGTGGGGCCATGCCATCCACTTAAGCAAGATGATTTCAGGGAGTGTATGAACTAGGTGGATTTGGGTGGACTTTGTATTCAACTGATGAATGACGACCCCCATATGGCTGCGGAGATCGACTCTTCCCTCCAAGTCAAGTCCTTCCTGCCATTTGCTTGGCCACCAGCCTGGCGTTTGATTTTGACTGGATATGGGATGGTCCGATGGTCCGTACTACTAACCTGCTAGGTCTTTTCGTTCGGCTTTTCTCGCTTCGCTCCGTCCGCTGTTTCAGCTGGCGCCCGTCCTTTGCTCCGTCCGGGCAGGCGCTCCTGGCGTGAAGGGACCCAACCGGTGGACCCGTCAACACCCACTGCGGCTGCCGGTGGTCGATCAGATGCAGTCAGGCTACCCACGTCGCGGGCCGCGGGCCGCACCACCTGGGCTCCATTTTGGTGTTTCACGGTGATGGTATATGGGTGAATATGGGATCACCGGTGACTGGGTGGAGAGTACCGTGCGTACCGTGCGTACCGTGCGTCGTGCGCGGGAGGAGAACTCTGACAGCCCGTCGGGAGTTCACAGCTGCCGCAGCACTCGAGCGCCGAGCGATGCCACCTTGGAGGACGCGCGATCGAGCGATGCCACGGAGAGCCACAAGAGGCGAAGCTTGTGCAAACTTGAGGTCAAGAAGGTCCCTATATAGCCCAGCAAGTCCAAAGGACGGGTTAAACTGGTGCGTTGACCCACTGGGTAGGGTACCCTTCTCATCAGATGTTCGGTGTAAATTCAGTGATTCTTGGTCCCGAGTGCATGAAAAGGGAAGAGGCGACCTTCAAGATGAAACAGTATCAGATCCGACAAGCAATATAGGACATCAGATGACATCAGTGTAAAACCCTCAACGGACCCCGAAAGGAATGAATTCGAAATGATCATGGTGAAGGCAAATGTTCGGTGAAATGAATGTACAAACCAACCGGCCACTGGCTGGCAAGGGGAGCATTTGGATGGGGGGCCATGATGGGGGGGGGTATCGAGACCACTGGCGTTTGGTGGGAGATGTTGGTGGGGTTGGGAGTTGAACAGAACACGCCCAGAGCATCCCAGAGCGCTGAAATCATCATGGTTATGGCTGGCATGGGCTCCGATTTTCGGATGGCCATGTTCCTCTACGGTCGCGGGGAGAAGAGGGGAAGAGGGGAAGAGGGGTGTCGGTCGCGGCATGGGATGACAAACCAGGTTTGCTCTTTCGGTTTCACCTCTGATGGGTGAGTGCATTCCAACAAAGGAGACCCCCTTGCCCAATGAATTTGGGTCTAGTTGTTGGTCTATTTCCTTCGATGTCCTTTCTTCCACGTGGTCGAGCTGGAAGGTCTGCCTAAGTAATTGAGCTACACACCATTCTCGGTTTCAGCTTGGGAGTCGATCCTGATGTCGCTTTCTACATGCGCTCAAATCCTTGACCAGTTCTCAAAGGTGTCAAACATGTCAAACACAGCATCAGTGGCAAGAAGATTCATTATCCCGGCAAGAGACCCCAAACAATGTGGTTGAGGTCTAGAGGTGTAGCAGCAGAAAGTCTAGAGATCTAGACGTATTGGGGTCCAGAGAGGTGATGGTGGTGATGAAGGTGGAGATCGTGGTGGTGGTGATGGTGGTGGATTTCGCAAGCCAGGAACGGTCCACAAAGCACCGCGCCTGCCACGAAATCTGCACTTCAAGGTCCACAAAGTACGGCACCTGCCACGATTTTTGAAAACGAGCCACATGTCCAAAAGTCACGATTCACTGCACCTGCCACGAAGGATTGAGCACGCCGAAGACCACCACAATGTGCAAAGTATTGCGGCTGCCACAAAATCTGCACATGGACATCAAACTGCGCCGATCTCCTGCACTTGTCACGGAAAGTCGACTGTAGACCACCAACCTCCTTGCGCCTGCCACGAAATGTGATCACCAAGTCCAACAACGCGTGCGGCGCCACAACGAGAGCGCACCTCCGTCAAGCACCGTGCGCAGAGAAATTGCCATTGGAGATCTCAGAGCAGAGCTTTTCTGCGAGCCTGCCTGCGCAGCCAAAACGCACGAGCCCAGAGAACGTACCCTGATCGAACCCGGGCTTTTACACTTACTGTAAGAACTCCTCAGTGTGAACTCACTGTACATGTTTGCACAATTAAAAGGTTTCAAAAGCGGAGGGGCGCTCTCAACATGTGCCTCCAAACGGCAATTAAATGGTCTTAGATATCAATTCGTCTAGATCTGAGGCAGAGTGAAGCAAGAATACTTGCCCCATGAGCTTTTCCGATTCAGGTCCAAGACCCGCACACAACTACGCGCCCAGAGGCGTGGAGGCCATGACCTGGACCTCAACCAGAACAAAACCACCGTGTCTGGCCAGGCTGGTGCTCCTTTGGAGGCTCCACGAAGGCGCCGTTGTCGGTGCGCACAAAATCACGCTGCCCTCCTCTCAGCCAAGCAGAAAGACGCCCTACTGGCTCTACTGCCTGGAGTGCCACGAGCGGCGGTTTGGCAAGGCCACTTGCCTCACGGGGTCTGTTTGGAGCTGCAAGATTGTGGCGAAACGTTGCGTTTGCTGTCCAGGCGCGGGAACCGAAAGGAGACGCGACGCGAAGTGGCGTCCTGGTCAAAAGGCGGACAAGATGCCAATGCGAATGGGGGACACCCGGCCGCACAGTGGTCCTGGTGGAGTCCTCCGCCGTGTGGTGGTCCAAAAAGGGAACGGGGAAAGGCAAACCTAGCCAGCTAGCTAGCCTTTTGGCATCAGACGGGGAGGCTCAAGTTGTCTTTTTCTACTTCGCCTGCGAGGAAGTCCTCATCCTCACATGTTCTTTTTGTCGCTCTTTTTGGGAAGATTGGAAAAGGGATGTAACTCGGAAATGGTGATTTGTGCAGAGCCCGTCGAGTGAACAAAACAGACCCTCAGAACCAATATGTTGGCCGAACTTTCTTTTTAAACGGGGTCCTCTCACGTGTGGTTGGTGTTCTCTGCCACGCGTACCCGTCACTAGGCCGATGAGCAGCGACAAGAGATTTGGGAGTTCAATTATAGAGCATTTTTCTCTAAGACCTACTTAAAGGGTTGCCCAGACCGCGGATACACACACTGATTTTGGCCTGCAAGACCATATCCACCAAAAATACGGGGTTACTTTATTGTTCATCCAGCTCAGAGGTGCAAATTCTACTTCACCACCTGGGGTCTGTTGGGTTCACTCTGCTCTTCAGCCGCTGATGAACGCTGATGGAGCGTCACTGTTGGCGATCTGTGCTGTGCGTTTGCCTGCCAGGCGCGGGGGCCGAAATAAGCCCCCTGATCAGGTGGAGTTCGACAGGCCCATGTCAGCACGAAGCAGGCGGCCCCGCGTCGCCACGCACCGTGTGCGCGTCAAGAATCGCTGCAAACGCTTCGCCAGGGTGCGCTGCCCTGCGTGTAAAGCGGCCGCCAACCCAGCAAGGGCTTAAGAAAAAGAGAGACAGCAAAAACATATTTTGCAGTTGAGCCTGGGGGGATTTTGACCTCGGCTGGCGTCTGGTGCCCCAGAATCTTCAGATATTTCCGAACCAGTGCAAAAGCGAAAGGGAAATTGAAAACGCCACCGCCATCGCTGCGCTTCTGCTGCAGGCGCTGAGAAGGGTGGGCCTCTTCCTCACTCCAGAGGCTTGCTCCATTGTGGCAGGGTCTGGCGGGAGGTGGATCGGGCTCTTGGGATTTGAGGCGCGCGACTGTCTAACGATGGGTTGGGTCCATCTGTGATAGTTTCAAAATCTCGTCACCCCTTTGTTTTTTGAGTTAACCCCTGTTTGGTTATGCAACATTAGTGATTTTTGAACACAAGCGCGAGGCAAGGACCCCCACCTCAGGAAGGGATGCTCCATTTCCAAGGCAGTGGATGCGCTGCTCCGCCTGCAGCAGGTCATCCAGCCGCCATTCAGCGCAACCTGGGCCGCGTCAGTCGGTCTGTCGTTTGTTTGTGCGACAGCTTTCGGAAAGGGATAGGGGCTTTGATCGGGATGGAGGGTGAGGAGTTGGATGGTGTATTTGGATCTTACATGATTTTGCTAGTGATCTTGCTATTTTGGTATATGTTACATTATAGCTGTTGTAACTTTGTATAATGAACCTGCAGCGGCTGAGTCATGAGACAAAAGTCGCTGTTATAGTAACATTCCAATGCTGCTTCAACCTGTTGCAGAGGTCAAAAGATTCCTTTGTAATGTTTTTAAACTTTAGTTCCACATTTTGTCCTCAGTTCCACGTTGTAACAACACTTCTGAAATGGCAGGGGTGTGAAAGTTCCAAGTGGAAAGCCCTTTTTTGACTCGACCAATTTCTCCCCGGGCTTACCCCCACCCACGAAGGGATGCTGGATTTCCAGGGCTGTGAACGTGCTTTTGCGCGAGCAGCCCGTTTGGCCTGGATGCCTAGAGCAACAAAGATGGTTCGTAGGACCTTGGGTCATTTGAGCTGAACTAAGCAAGTTGTTGGAGGCAGAGATTGTTGCACACTATCGCTGATAGCAAGTTGCCCAAATATACTTATTAGACTTATTATTAGACTTTTTTAGCAGCAGACACATTAAAGGCCTTGATTGCTGGCGCAATCAGTGTCCACAATTTTTCTGCACACCGTTTACACCTTTAAGCGGCGTAAACAGCGTAGCCAACGTAACCAGACCACCGGCGTAAACAGCGTGGTCAGCGCAACCAACGCAATCAGCGTAACCAGCGCAAACAGCGTCACCAGCGCAGCCAGGCGACCAGGGTAATCAGTGTAACCGGCGTATAGTCAGCGCAACCAGCACAAACAGCGTCACCAGCGCAGCCAGGTGACCAGCGTAGTCAGTGTGCCCGACGCAATCAGCCTAACCAGCGGAAACAGCGTAATCAGCACAGCCAGCGCGACCAGCGTAACCGGCGTCATCAGCGTAAGGTTTCGACGACGCTGACATACATTGACATTGAAATAGTACCAACACAATCACACGTTTTCGCACATCAGACTCCACTGAGAAGTGATCTCTTTAGAAGGTCTATGTTAACGGTTCTTCCTTCTTGTTTAAGTTCTTGCCCTGGCCTGCAAAGCACACGAGCGAAACATTTAGATGAGGAAGGTGCCATTCCAATGGTGAGCCATCCGAGGACTGAGTTTAGAGGAAAAAGGCGCCATTCCAAGGTAGCAGCCTTCTGTTAGAGGAGGAAGGCGCCATTCCAACTTCCAATGCCGCAGACCTTTTGTGAGCCACTCAAGGGCAAAGTTTAGAGGAGGAGGTGCCAATCCGACGGTATAGCAGACCTTTTGTGAGCCGCCTGAGAACAAAATCTAGATGAGGAAGGTAAAGAAAAGGGCCGAACTATGCTGAAGCAGTATAGTACCAAGGAGAACGGTTTAAAATGATGCGCAGACTGTTGTAGGACTGCAGTTTCGGACACTTTCTGCTGATTCTGTGTTCCAAAATGATCTGTGTTCCAAAATGATCCATTTTGCGTGTTCCAAGATGATCCGGGTGCCCCATATTCTTGGGGGTAAGTTCGCCACACGCTTGGAGCAATCCATTTGCCAAACCTCGATTCCTTTTTTGATCTTTTTGTACACTAAATACGCGCGTCCAAGAACAGTGTTCTTTTTTTCAATCTGTCCAGTTTAGCGTTCCAAAAGAACTCAAGTCTTTCGCCAGACCATCCATGTGATTGGCCTGCTCACACCTCACCCATGACCCCACAAAGGAGAAAGAACCTTCGTGCCGGAGCCAACCCTATAAAAATCAAACAAAACAAATTTAGTTTGCACCCAATTGAGTCCTACCCAACTCAACTCTAGAAATATTGTTCCACCATTTTTCTCAGCTGAGATCCGAAGAATACCACGCCCGTGCACCTCCAGGCGGCGAGGGTTTTGCGCGCCTCCTGGACGTCCATCTCATTGCACGCACAGCAGGGCACAGGAGGGAAGGCACCAAGACGCTCTGCAAAGGCTTCCGCAAATGCAGCTTTCATTGCGCTGCGTGACAACTAAGTTCAACTATATAAGTATATTCACCACTGTGGCGTGTGATATGACTAGTTTCGACCCTCTGAGACCATGAGACTCCAGCACAGGTTCCAACTGAAGTGAAAGTTTGAATCTGCGCCGTGCAGAGGTGCAGGCGCGGCACACACTCACCTCTCCGAATGGCACGGTTCCCAAGCACCTTGCCTCCCAGGAACGAGAGCATTCGACCTCAAGAACTGAAACGAAAGCTGGAAACAAAGCATCCAGACTTTCAAGCCGCATGGGCAAACTTTGGAATGAGCTATCAGGGCTTTACGAGAGCGTGGCGCCTGCAGCGCTCAAAAGAAAGCTGGAAGAAAAGAATCCAGACTTTCAAGGCGCATGGGCAAACTTTGGAATGAGCTACCAGGGCTTTACGAGAGCGTGGCGCCTGCAAGAAAAGAATCCAGACTTTCAAGGCGCATGGGCAAACTTTGAAATGAGCTACCAGGGCTTTACGAGAGCGTGGCGCCTGCAGCGCTCAAAAGAAAGCTGGAAGAAAAGAATCCAGACTTTCAAGGCGCATGGGCAAACTTTGGAATGAGCTACCAGGGCTTTACGAGAGCGTGGCGCCTGCAGCGCTCAAAAGAAAGCTGGACGAAAAGAATCCAGACTTTCAAGGCGCATGG